TAAGAAGTTAAAGATTAAAAACTTGTTTTGTTTTGTCTTGTTCTCTAGAAGAAGGGTATTTTAGGATATTTGTCAAAAATTATAGGCTATTGAATCTATATTGTTACATAAACCTTAAAAGCGAGGGAGGTAGGTATAATTTTTGAAACTTGAGGGGAGCTCACAATAATTGTTGGAAACCTTGAGGGAGGTTTATGAAATTATCCCTAAAAAAATGGAAAAAGAAAATAACTTTAACTTAGGGTCCGTTTGTTTCGGGTGAAAATGTTTTCCAGGAAAATATTTTCCTAATTTCCCGTGTTTGGTTGCACAAAAGTTACTGAAAACATTTTCCTATGTAAAATATTTTCACTCATCTTATGGAAAACAATTTCCCTTCCAAACTTACTGAAGTTGTTTTCTGAAATGCATGCATCCCACCTGTAGTATGTTCCAAACTTACTGAAAACATCTTGTAGTATGTTTTTTTTTTTTAGTGTAAACAGGAGGACTCGAACCCAAGACCTCTTTCTTACACTCCCTCCCCCGTACCGCCAAACCCAACCCAACCCAACCCTCCCCCTAGTATATTCAAAAAAAAAAAAAAAAAAACCTCATCACGCTCATCCTATGCTAGTAATTAATTATGTATAATAGGGACATTCTTTTCTAGATAAACTTTCAGCAGTGAGAGTGCAAGATATATGTCACAATAAGCATTGCATGTGATTGATATTTGACACTAAATGGCCATCAATTTGTTTATTGCTTAAGGAGATATTTTTTATTCATATATACATTTCTCCAAGATTTTTTAAAGTTAAACAATGAGATAAATTTTCTTATTTTGCATGGGAAGAAGTATGTAGTTATAATGTGTAGAAAGTAAAGATAGAGATAAAAGTGAAAACATTTCAAAAGTTAAATAAACACCAGAAAAATGAAGTAAGAAAATATTTTCAATAAGCTAACAAAACACCTGAAAATGATAAAAGTGAAATGATTTTCATGGAAAATTACTTCCACGGAAAATATTTTCCCAACAACCAAACAGACCCTTAATCAGAATGTTTCTCCTGATTGTTTAGTGCCAAGTTTTGCATGGTTGTGCAATCATATTTGTTGCTCCCTTTAAGAAGGAATATTCCTCGTTAGCAATATGTGTGCAAATGAAATTAAAGCAACAAGAATCAAAATTGAGGTAGGGTGAAGTATGTGCATCAATTTTGGAAGGTAGGAAAAATCTCTCTCTTCATTCAACCTTTGTGCTGTAAACAAAACTAATCAAACCCAAGACAGGCTCGAGGTTGTTTATCTTGCTTAATGAGTTTGAAAATTACGGTTAAACTCCTTGTTTATGTATCGCACTGAACTTAATCTACTTTTTATCAAGTCGAGTTTAAATCAGTTGAACTTTTAAAATATAATTTCAAATTTGTTCTAATCAAGATAAACTTGAATTGAGTTTTAAAACTTTAACTATTGTTTGTGTTTGACTTCATTAGTTGGTCAATTAAACCAGAACGAGCTCTTAGCGAGCTATGCTAGTTTCAAATATCAAAATAGTTTGGTTCGTCGTCAATCGACTGAAGTGTTAACCACGGGTTTTGTGATACTAATGAAATCTAAGTTTCTGATTCTAAGTATTAGAAGAGGAAACAATTTGGTTAGTCTATTTGCCCTGTCAATCGAGTTAAGTGTTAACTATGAGTTTAAGAAATGAATAAAATCTATGTTTCTGATTCTGAGTATTAGAAAGTAAGGAGGGACGAGAAATTAAGAGTATGAACGACATCACCTGATTTTTTTTTTTGATAATAAAATAGAATAATTTTATTAATCATGAGATCGAATTTGCAACAAGTGCAAAACAAATAAAAGATGGAGGAGAGTTTCTCCATATACAAGAATCTGAAAGATTAACAGCATACTTAGCAAAGTTATGAGCAGGAACATTAAATGACCTAGAAATCCATGAAACTTCCCAACACATGAAATCTTGACATAAGACAATGGTATCATCAATCAACAAGCCACATGATGAATCGTCAGATTCCAAACGGTCCAGCATTTTGATTGTTTAATGCCAGGTTTTGCATGGTTGTGCAAGCATATTTGTTGTTCCCTTAAAAGAGGAATATTCCTAATTAGCAATATGTATACAAATGAACATTCTTGTTTTGTTTCATTTGGAGAAATAATAGAGTTTGATTCACTTTCCAAAGAGGAAGTATAAAGAAGTAGTCCAATTTGATGACATGGTTCATACCTTAATGAACTCCCATATGGGATGCTGTATTATTTGCTCAAAGACCAGAGTTGAAGTGTTTTGACCACTAAACCAAGCAGACCCTTGTGTGTTCACCCTTTGACTAACAAACTACATGTTCTTCATCACTATAATCCTCTGAAATCCTTTACATTGAATTTATGCTCTGGTCTAGTGAGCCTAATTGTATATTTATTTCTTTTAGGGTCTGTTTGGTTGGAAGTAAAATGTTTTCCTTGGGAAAATATTTTCCGTGGAAGTAATTTTCCATGAAAATTATTTCCCTTTCATCATTTTCAGGTGTTTGGTTAGCTTATTGAAAATATTTTCTTACTTCATTTTTCTGGTGTTTGTTTAACTTTTGAAATAATTTCACTTTTATCTCTATCTTTACTTTCTACACATTATAACTACATACTTCTTCCCATGCAAAATAAGAAAATTTATCTCATTGTTTAACTTTAAAAAATCTTGGAGAAATGTATATATGAATAAAAAATATCTCCTTAAGCAATAAACAAATTGCTAGCCATTTAGTGTTAAAAATCAATCACATGCAATGCTTATTGTGACATATATCTTGCACTCTCACTGCTGAAAGTTTCTCTAGAAAAGAATGTTCCTATTATACATAATTAATTACTAGCATAGGATGAGCAGGATGAGGTTTTTTTTTTATTTTGAATATACTAGGGGAAGGGTTGGGTTGGGTTGGGTGGTATGGAGGAGGGAGTGTAAGGAAGAGGTCTTGGGTTCGAATCCTCCTGTTTACACTAAAAAAAAAAGAATATATTACAAGATGTTTTCAGTAAGTTTGGAACATACTACAGGCGGGATGCATGCATTTCGGAAAACAACTTCAGTAAGTTTGGAAGGGAAGTTGTTTTCCATAAGATGAGTGAAAATATTTTACATAGGAAAATGTTTTCAGTAACTTTTGTGCAACCAAACACGGGAAATTAGGAAAATATTTTCACCCGAAACAAACGGACCCTTAATCTCAAGCGTTTTCAAAGGGGCGTTGAATCAAGAGTGGTACTCCATGATTGATGATTGCCCACCGAAATCTTTCCCCCTAACCAAATACATAAAGTCTCTAAAAAATACAGTAGAGAAAAATGCAGTACTGGTACTCAAATTTTGATACATGAGGGGTTTTAATCCCCAAATTTTGAACAAAAACAAATATAGTACCCAATTTTTCAACTATTGAGCACATTGAGTATCCTTGACGGATTTTTTTCAAATTGCTACCACAAATGTTACATGATAATCATATGTCCGGCAACTATTATATAAAAAATGCCAAAAAAAATGTAAAAATTTCTTTTGACACTAAGTGTCACGTAAATATCTTTTTAACACAAAGTATTAAGTTTAGGAACTAATAATTTTATCAAGTAAAATATCTTTATGACACTAAATACTAAGTTTAAGAACTAATAATTTTATCAAAAGTATATTTTACATTTTTTGGCAATTTTTGATTAATAGTTGTTAGACATATGACTATCATGTGCTTAAAAGCAATTTGGAAAAAAACTATCAAGAATACTAAATGTGCTTAAAAGTTGAAAGTTTAAGTACCAGATTTGTTTTCGTCCAAATTTGGAGACTAAAACTATTCATCTGTCAAAGTTTGGATACCAAAGCTGCATTTTTCTCAAATACAGTATCTATCAACTTTCGTTTTCCCTGCTTGTGTAATCTCCCACAAGGCGGCCTAAGTGATAAGATACAACAATTAGAAAATGAGTAAGATGAGCCACAAATATGTCACTCTTGTTACATATTTTTATGCATAAAAGTCCTGAAAACTATAGCATTTGCCTGTTATGAAGTTATAAAATACATAAACAAGACAAAAGATACCTAAAGTTTGTCAAGAACATCCCATTCACCAGGTCACTTTCTAATTTTGTTTTTACTAGGAAAAAAACCTGTTCATTGCAAGCATTTTAATTTAAAATCCATCATGTTGAGATCAAATGACTCCGTATAACAAAAGAATCCCGAATTCAGAGTGTGGAGAAACGATAAGACTCCAACAATGACTCCATTGTCATGTCACTTTCGGTTTGTATATTTCGAAATTAACCTCCACATGGCAGCACAAGCCATTCATAAAACTATGATTAGAGAGACTCTAGAAGATCAACTGTTTGGGGAAGGTATCGAAGAAGGCCAAGATCCTCATTTAAGCAGTCAAAAGTAGACGAATACACTGAAAACAATTATCACCTAAGCAACTCCGAACCTTTTTTGTGCATAAAATGATGCTCCAATCCAATGCTATCGCATTTGTACCATCTTGAAGTCTTTATATTGATTCAAAACTACATGCACCATCAGCCTAATTATCACCCAAGCAGTTTCCATGAAAACCACCAATCACTATCAGTAGCAAATTTTTTTTTTCTGATGACTGATCAAATCGAGTTCTAGTACTGGTACGTAGTTTTGCGAACCACCATAACAACCTTCATAAACTGCAGAGAAATTTTTGCATGTGACATCAGGCATGTTTTAAACCATACTCCATGCATGAAAGTCTTCCAATTTTGTTCATACATATCCATGTCTTTATTGAATCATCTAAGCATGAAACTCGAAAGTAGACACGTTTAAAGTAGTCGATAACCTTTAAATGATTTGCCTGTAAGTGTGAAGAGAGAAAGCACAAAAGAAACTCCTCTTTAGTTGTTGAGATTGGGAGTTCCATAAAGACAGACAAACCGTTGAACTTGCCAAAATGTGTGCTGCATCATTTTCTTTTCCGGCTAAACCTTCTGTAAAAGGTGGCAATGGCAATTTCTTGCCCTACAGATACAGAAAAGGAACCGTAAGAGCAGAAGTGCTGATAGCTGATCGCAAGAGGGGTGAACGCATCCTTCCAGAACTGACAATTCAAGGAATTCCTCACAGTGATCACCATATACATGAGATTGTCCGGAGGCAATCGCAAACAAGTAGCTTTTCAAGAAAGGATGCTCTCAGAAGACCTCAGTTCCACCCTATGTTTCTTGAAGAAGCATATGAACGATGCAAGAAAATCTGCGCAGAATACGCCAAAACATTCTATTTAGGTACTCTCAGGAATCCCTTCTCTTTGAAAATTTCTTTATGATAATAACATACCGGAGGTCATTAACATAATCCGAACCTTACCAAAATGTGCTTGTGATCAATTGCTGCATAGAAAATAACAACAAAATAAATAACGCAGACAAGAGAAAAAGAAATTTGTATCCGTTTGTTTTGTGCATCAGTGTAGAGATTTTCACAACTCATCATACTTTGCTACCTTGATGTCCCTGGCATAGGATTGATGGCATGCCAACCTTGTCACCACTGGGGACCATTTCCCGAAGTTCTTGCATAAAATGTTTTTGTTGTAACTAACTAGATAATAGTCTTCTTGAACAATTCAGAAAATTAGGCCTCATATATATGTTGCTCATGCAGGGACAAGACTAATGACAGAGGAGAGACAGAAAGCAATATGGGCTATCTATGGTGAGCTCTTGTTTAATATTGGTAGTCCAAAAAAATTATGGAAGTAGCATAGTGATTAGATTAAACACTGAGTACTGAGTAGCATGTAATGCAGAAGCAAATCTATTCACATCCTATATATGCTCTCTTCTTCTTCTGACGATGAAATTGTTGTTCTGTAGTCTGGTGCAGGAGGACAGATGATCTGGTTGATGGCCCCAATGCTGTCTACTTAAGCTCTGAGGCTCTTGATAGATGGGAAGAGAGAACAGAAGACATCTTCAATGGACGCCCCTATGATATGCTGGATGCTGCACTTACTGATACTGTATACAAGTTCCCTTTGGACATCAAGGTACTAAATAATTGAGACTGAAAACACAATTTGACTTCTCTTTAACCTGTTAAACAACATATATTCTTTTCCATTTCCAGCCTTTGAAGGACATGATAGAGGGAATGAGACTGGACACATGGAAAAGTCGGTATGCAAATTTTGAGGAGCTCTACCAGTATTGCTACTGTGTAGCTGGGACTGTTGGTCTAATGAGTGTCCCAGTAATGGGGATTGCACCAGAATCCCATTTATCTTCTCAAAGCATCTATGATGCAGCACTTTCTTTGGGCATAGGCAATCAACTGACAAACATACTCAGAGATGTTGGAGAAGAGTAAGTATTTATCAGTTACAAAACAGTATGTCTTCCCCAATTCTTGATAAATTCCTTATTCTGATTGGTGAACATCATTTATTATTCCGGCCAGTGCTCAGAGAGGGAGAGTTTATCTTCCGCAAGACGAACTCGCACAGTTTGGATTATGTGATGATGATATCTTCTCAAGAAAGGTCACAGATGGATGGAGAGAGTTCATGAAAAAACAGATTCGACGCGCAAGGTTCTACTTCAATCAGGCTGAGGAAGGAGCTTCACAGCTTGACAAGGCTAGCCGTTGGCCGGTAATTTCTTGCAAAAGATAGCATAACTTTCTCATCCAAAAGGAAGATTAATGAATCAACTAACAGTTTATCACAAAAATTATCAAATTGTAGATTGCATCATCGCAGTATGTCATCTTGCAAGTAATTACTTGATCTGATTGTTGCAGGTCTGGTCATGCTTGATAATATACCGCAAGATCTTGGATGCAATAGAGGAAAATGCTTATGATAATTTGACAAAGAGAGCTTATGTAGGGAAGGCTAAGAAGCTTCTGACATTACCTCAAGCTTATACTAGAGCTCTATCAATGTCCAATTTGGCCTTCCAATCAAATCTTTCATGTGAAAAACACATAACTGGAGGTCAATAACCTCCAATCGTTTGATAGTGATACGCAAACCAGCTGAAACAGGAATTTATTGTCAGTCAGTCTTTGAATTCATGTTGATCAATCTTTTCAACACTTGAAAGATCAAAAAGTAAGGAAACACAAATAAAGAGGGGAAAAAAGTGCCAAGCAAAATGGGGTTTTTTTTTTCTTAGAATTAATCTCCATGGGTGAGATTTTCTTCTCTTCATATTCATCTTCTTCCTTTTAATACTCTGAACTTGTCAATCTGGAATTTTTAAATAAAAACAAGATAAAAAATCACCATATGTGCCAATTATATAAACGTGTTCACAAAATGACGGAGTGCAAGATTTCTTTGAACATATAAAAGAGAACAAATTTTTCGATTTGACATATTTAGCTGTTCTCAATTTAAGGCTAAATATCTTGTAGTCTTTAGTGGTACAATTGACACCTTTGTGCGGCAAGAAGATGGCATAATTTAAACTGAGGAATACTTGGTTTAGTGACTAATATTGTGAGACTAGGACTTAGAAGTCCTAGATTCAAATCTCCTTCCACCTTCCCAATTCTTAAATCCTTTTCTCCTTTTATTAGAAATTTTTTTTTTCTAAAAAAAGAGAGAGATAGCATAATTTAATCTATGGGCTTGATCTCAACTGATTCTATTTTTGTAAAAGCTGATTTTGTAAAATTGATTCTTGAAAATCGTATATTTTCAAAATAACTCACGTGTTCTAGTTTATTAGTTTAAAAAAGTAGTTTTAAGAAATGTACAGGTGTTCTCAAGAAAAGGTTAAAAAATTGATTTTGACAAAAAAAAAAGATCGGATTACATTTATATGCTATATAAATGATTTTTTGTGCTACTTAAACAAATTTTGAAGTAATTAGTCACTTTTCTTATGAAGATTAAATGTTGGATGAGAAAAAGAGAAGGGATATAGATGAATTTGGAAGTGGGATGAGGATAGGAGGAAGATAGAGAACGTTCGACGTAAAAAATTACCTAATCTTTAGGTAATTTAGTAATTATGTTGAAAATATAAGGGTAATTTTGTTTGCATGAAAAGTAAGCAAGAACCAATATTCAAAAGCACCTCAAGACTTGTTTTTGATTTTTTAGGCAAAAATTCAAAATCAAATTTTCAAGATTAGTTGAACACAAAAAAAAAAAGAAAACTTTCCGACAATCAAAAGCTAAAATTAAGTTTCCAAAATCAGTTAAGAACAGGGTGTACGTCCAAATCTGGATGAATTTTGTTACATCGCAAGTCAACGCTTTCAGCAAACAGGAAGAAATCGTGATTAATTATGTGTGCATAATAAGCACGCCTTCGGGTGGGCGTAGTGGAAATGAAGCTTTTATATAGCGACATTATTTTCTGATTGAGAAACATAGCTTGTGATGGCCATTTGACCTGATCCCTCAGATAGGGCCATTACAAAACTAATTAAAAAAAAACTACCACTCACCATTTTTTTTTTGGTTGAGGAACCAAAAATTGCTACCACTTGCTATTCAAAAGTCAAACAAACAAAGACAGACAAAATGTATTGTCTAAATAATTGAGAGCAATTGTAAATATTCAATGAACAGAAATTACTGCCTCCCGAATATGTAAATATTCAAGAAGAAGAAAGAACAAAGTGCAACTTACGACAAGCTTTCTCCATTGACAATTAACTAGTGAAAAAGGAAAGAATGGAATAATACAAACTAAATCAGATTATTCATTGACTTTCAGGGTGACCATACAATCTAGATTGTTTACATTTTAAATCAAAATAGAAATATTATTTTGTTAAAAAACAGAGTCATTTGCAAAGAAAAAACTAAAAGTTCAATATGGTATCAAGTAGTACAAATTTCTATCAAAATGTGTCCATTGAAGTGAAAGGAAAAGAACTATAGGCAATAGCCCCAATCATCAACTTAAGAAATCTATGAAATTGTCTGAAAAATTATGTTCAATTATCATCTACTATTGCAATTTCCTACCATTTGTTCTATTCTATAAAAATTCATCTCATTCATCATGCTGTACCTAAGAATTTACAATATTCTGAAATTGTCCATGAACAACAAAAGAATTATTTTTTTTTTTTTTGTAGTTTTGTCAAATATCTTTTTTTTAGTAACTTACATCTTTACCTTCACAAAATAAACTTAAAAAAATCCAAAAAGACAATGAAAAAATTGTGATCTATGACAAAAATCTAGTGTGTAATTTCATGAAATTCTACCTTATGGGGTTTGTAAATAGCCATTCAAAATGTTTTTCAGAAAATTCCACAAAACAGTCCCAAAACCAATCCATGCGTATCGTTGCTTATTTAAGTTCCCATAGCAAAATCAATTCGCCTTAAAGCTTACCCTTAGTATAAGAGTATTATATTGAACATTTTCCAAATATAATCACTGTGAGTATGCGATATGATTAGAACTATGTAAGTAAGAAATGTTAAAGAAAGAGAAATAGAATACACATCAAAAAGCTATATTCATGAAGAGAAGATACTAAATAAACAAAAGAATAATTAGGATTGTGTAGTTGGTTTAAAATTTGCTAATAATAGACAACTTCTTTATCCCAACCAAAGATAATAGATGAAAAAGAAAACTAATTAACCAATATAAGTATGCAAAATAAATCAAAGTTTAAAATATGCACTTTATTCTATACAATATAGAAAAGTGTTATACTTATGCCATGTTTGATAATGCAATTCAAAATTTAAATTTAATGTGTTCAGATCTTAACATATTTAGATGCATTTGATAACTAAAACTAAAACATCTGAATTCATTAAGTGGCATTGAATTTTTTAAGCAAAATTTGCTCCAAAAAATAAGTAATAAGCTATTTATTTATCACTTAATGTAATATACACTCAAATATATCAAATTTAATACTTAACAATTCACTAATTTAATGGATTTAGATTTTATATTTCAGACTTCAAATTTCAGTTTTCAGATTTTAGTTTTATCAAACGCACCCTTAGTTTTAGGCTCTTCTTTAAGCCTATTAGGTCAAAGTATAGGCTTGGATGCATGCAAATTAAATATATATAGTTCAAGTTTATGGTTTTAGTTTAAGTCCTACCCTTTGTCATGTATAAAGAATGGAATATTTGAATTAGTGAAAACATAAATAATTGAGTCAAAGTTGATATGATGTGTAAGGGAAGTTTGGTACTTGATATTAGTTCAAATAATTAGAAAAAAAAAACTAATAAGAAGTGTCCTAATTTCAAAGAGTAATGCTCACATAGAGGAAAACATAATAGTAATGTACTACTATAAATATATTTATAAAATGAAAATTTTGAGATTGTATTTTTATGTTGTTCAAATATTTTTTTTTCTAGAATAATATCACGATAGATTTGAATTTCGTCACTTCATTAATACAAGATTTTGTTAAACAAAATCATGAACTAAGAGTTTAACATACAATTGATACAACAATTTCCTATGTGCAGTCTTAAAAAATGAAAAAAATGAAAGATAAATTTTATAATAAATGAATAAAAGAAAAAGTGCATGTCTTGTTACAAGATAAGAAACACATTAAATATTTAATTTGATTACGCAAGTTAGAAGATATGAGCATCTATGTAGTTTTTTTAATGTCCATTCTGAAAAATTGATGGGAAACACACCTTGCATTTTGGCAGATCCGATTTCTTGCAAGAATGTTAGATTTTCTAGGAAAAGCAAAAAGATCAAAAAAAATTGGGAAAAGCAAAGAGATGAAAAAAATTGGGTTTGTTACAGTATTTTTATTTTTTAAAAAAAAATTTATGCTCTATTCAAATCATGAGAAGTGGGAAATTTTCCTTAATTTAGTATTCAACTCATTAGATTTTGGGTGAATTTCAATTTGGCCTTTCAAAGTAGACCAAAGTGTCAATTTAGCCCGTAAAAGTGATTTAACTCCCAATTAAGCCTTTCAAAGTGGAAATTTGATTCCAAATAAGCTTTTTCACCATTTGATATTTGGTCAATAAAATTTGACAATACTTTAGTAGTAAAGTGAAACCCTACCTATTTTTTAGGGACTTTAAAACAATTAATTTCTCGCCTAAATGATCTAAAAGGGATAAAATATTGCTCTTCTAATCTTTAAAAAAAAAAGTTTTAATGCTATTTCAGTGTTCCAAATCTGGTTAGAAGAGTATTATTCTATCCTTTTTGGATCATTTAAGTGAGAAGTTAATTGCTCTAAAGTAAGTAGAAATTATCAGATTTCACTATACCACTAAGGTTTAATTAAACGTTATTGATCAAATGTAAATCGACAGAAGGTCCTATTTAGAACAAAAGTTCCAGTTAAGAAGGCTTAATTGAAACTTGTTCACTTTCATGGACCGAATCAATACTTTGGTCTATTTCAAAGGGCTAAATCGAAATTTGCCCTTTAATTTTTTACAATTTCGTTTATTTGGTGTTCAGATCATTGAATTGTTCACCGTTATTCTTAGTAAAATGCACCAATTCTAAAGATGTTTCTTTAGTTTGGTGTTATAACAAGTGTCCATAGGGCATTCATTAGAAAAATCGTTAATTATTAGATAGTTATAGCTATCTTTGTTAAGGTTAATAAAAGATTAAGGTAGTTGGGGGAATCTTTCTTAATATGAAGTCCATAACATTTAATTATTCACTATAATTTTGGTAAAGTTAGGAAATTTTAACCATCGTCTAATTTTTTGGTAACGTTTGGAAATTTCGGTTATTAAGGACTAATTTTTTTTTTTTTAAGAAAAAACTATTTTTAGATTGAATTGTCATGAAGTAGGGGACTGAGGAAGAGAAGGCGTGAAAGAAATATAAGGAAAGGCGTGCAAAGCTAAGAAGATACACTGGAAGGCGCGGACTAACAAAATCAACAAATAACCAATACAAAAACAAGAAGAAGGCGTGGAGTCAGCAAAGGAGAAGGCGTGGAAAGAAGTACTAAAGGCGTGGCCAACGAAGCACGCCCATTCTGGGTTCATGCTATTCTTGC